TTAGGCACAGCAGAAATTTGAAGGTGGGTATCTCACCTTTCAAGCCGGTTGTAATCATACAACTATTGGATCGAAGTCTGTTTCACCTTTATGTGCCTAAGTGGCACTCAGAGTTACACAGGTGTAATTTTTTGCAGTTATGCAGGCTTTGGATTCTGTTTCCCCCTATAATGAATACAATCGCCAGGTATATTTCTAACTCCTTAGTGACGGAAGCAGAAAGGTTCCCCCTCTCAATGATTTCTCTGCACTTAATGTTCATTGGATGAAATGGATAAAAAAACCAGTGGGCTAGTTTATGCTCCAGTGGGGACAGTATCTATCTCATTGCATATGATCCTTCTGACTTGCTTGTGTCCTTTTGGGGAGCCAGCCTCAAGAAGAGGGCTAGAGAGTGCCTAGCTCAAGGCCTATTGCTTACAGCGCTTTGCTGTCAAGTGGGAGATGTAGGTTCAAGCCCCCTGCAGGTGAGAAGCTTAGTCTCCCACACTCTGGGCAAGTACCCTAACCGCTAGGCTGTTCTGCTGATGGCTGACATCCACTATGTACGGGTCTGATGTAGTCTGATTTTGGGACACATTGCAATGCTTCTCTTTGTTCACTGGGTCTTTTGATGAATTGGGGAATGTCCAGGATTGATGTCTGGGGAGAGTGAGGCATTTTCAGACTTTGCTGTTATTCCGAAGCGTGATCAATGGATTGGTCTGTAATGCAACCTCAGAGAGGCATCTCAGAACAGAAGATACGGTGATTTTCTTTTTTTTCGGTTTGCTTATAAATTGAAATAAATAAGTAGAGATGATTTCCTGGAACTGTAGCTTTTTAATGCCCATTTATCATACTTCAGCTTATAACGAAAGAAAGGATGTCAGTACGGGATGAAAGTCTGTGGGGATCCAGTTTCATTCCATTTGAGCTTCAGCATGAAGACTTTTTTTTCGTAAGGTGTAACTTTTGAATTCTTACTTCCTGAATAATATGCCTCACATGCTCTTGCAAAGTTTTTTTTTTTCATGAAATATTAAGTAATTTATGCTTTTAGTGTAGGAAATTAGACGGTTCAAGAAATAAGCAGTGTTGCATGCAGGCCTCAAAATTTGCTTTGCTGATAAATTTTATGTTTACTTTAACACAGGACTGGGATCAGCACATTAAAGGAAATCTTCACATCCAAAAATGTATGGCACTTTCGGAAAAGTAAGTATCACCTTAGAGATTCCAGGCCACATTAATCACTGATTTTAGTGGACTTTATCAGAATCAAACTTGAGCTTCTCATATTGATGACATACTTGTGTTCAGTGTATTCCTGCTTCTTGAAGCTTTTTCTTTTTTCCTTTTCAGCAGTGGCATCCGGTGTGCGTTAAGTTCAGTAGATGGAACGTTGCACTTATCGCCAAATCATGCTTCAATTTTTAACCCTTCCAGTATTGAAGGTGAATTGTTTATTACACAATTATAATGCTAGTGCACATTGTAAAATTTAAGTAATCTGGTGAAACAAATAGCCTCTTTACAAAATTACATCGTAAAAGCTTCCTCGAGAAGCTGCTTATTTAAGGAGTGCCTAGAAAAAGAAAAATTAAGAAAGGCAAGATTCTACCTTAAAATATGAATTTTGTTTTCTTTCCATTAGTGTTTGATTTTTACAGTAACAGAAAGCAATCTCTAATGCAGCATGGAAGCTAGAATGATAATTCTGATTTATTCAGGCCTCTTTTTCATTAAGCACATGAATGCAGTTAATATAAGTCAAGGTTTTCACTATGTATACAATCCATTATTTAGATTTCTTATCAACCGTTGGCTCATCTTATACCACTGTGTCAGCAAGATCCTTTGGCCAGCCAGTTCCTACATTTTCTTCCCTTCCAGCTGGGGTAAGAGTGAGTATACAAGCCTATTATTTTCCTTGTCCTCGTCTTCATTGTAGAAAACAGACTGTTTGCAGATTAATCAATGAGTCAATTCTCAGAAGAACATGAAACATGGAAATTTTCAGCTCCAAAGAGGTTCAGTTCAGGTTTGGGATGAAGATCTGGGCTAGTTCTTATCTAATTCAAAGCGTTTCATTCACCATTATGGTTAAAAAAAATAAATCTACAATTGATTCTGAATTGTTCCCATACTGGAGCTCTCCCCATTTGTCTGGCAACATGAGAAGAAGAGAGTGGTTGCAGTGCATAACCGGGGTGATTACAGTACCGAGTTAGGGAGCCGTGTTCTGCCGAACTAATTTTCTGTTATCTAATGAATCTGTGCTACTTGCCTCATCTGCTTCTGTCTGTAACATTTCATCCAGTTCACTTCTGTGCACAGCCTCAGCTCAAGTCGTAGCTCTGCCAAGCTTTCATCACCGTTCCTCTCGCACACAAATACAGTAACATTTCTTTATCCCAGTCTCGCTGTGCTCACTCAAAATTCTGCCTGAGTGAACAAAAATGGCGAGGGGCAAACACTAACCAGAGGCGAAAGTAAAAAGTGATTTTGAAATCAAAAAGGTTAGTAGGGTTTTAAAGGGTAGCAATTGACGAGGGTTAAAATTGGTCGTAGACAGAAAAAAAGTCTATAAATGGATGTAGGATGCTAGTATGATGCAAATAATAAAAACTGGTTTTTATGTTCACCTTTGTATGTTGGTCTGCTGAGCGGTGTGGTGTCAAACGCACCTTGGAAACCAAAGCTGAGTCTGTCCCCATCTCACCCCTCTGCTTTAAGTTACCATCCCTGGAAATGTCACTTTGTTTCCTGTAAAGTGGCCAGTTTTCTCTTCTGCTCATTTTGCTAATGCTGTGAAAGTTCATCATTAGGAGTATTATTTGAGAGGATTTCCATTTTTCACCATCACAGAAAGAACATGCACAGTAACGCAAGGGAGAGTGCATTATAACTTCTGCCTTTGTGTGCAGAGGTGGAGAAAGAGCAGGTTATAAAGGATTGTTTCGTTTCATCATGTCTGTCAAGTTAGCAACAAATGAAATTGCCGTTAATACCAATATCATTGCTTATTAGAGCCTGTCAGTGTTTATCACTTAAAATGCCTGCACAAGACCTGCTTGTGGATGATCTGTGACATGGTGAAAGGTGGAATAGGTCACAGTTAATGATTTCCCTGGAGACTTCTGTGCCCCTTTCTCTTCAGAAGTGCATTGCTTGTACAGAGGGCTGTATTAGCCTGGTTCAGATGATTTACAGGCAGGCTGTCATTCAGCACCCAATCTAAGTAGCTTATAAATTATTATGCTTTTATATAGCAGTATTTACTTTCAGCTAAGCTGCTGCCATTTAACCTAGTAGCAGGGAGATTATGCTTGGCCCTGTACGTAATGATAAACAAAGTATTCAGGTTTCGGTAAGAATCTGCTGCACATTCTTTGGCTGTAAATAGCTTTATCTGTCCGCAGGTGGCAAATGCAGTGATACTTATAAAATTACGCTGCATGAAACTGAATTCAGATTTCCCAGCTATAGAAGAGCTTCACTAGTTGGATGAAGATGGTTTTTCTTCTTTAGCATATTGGTGAAGGAGCCATAACAACAACACTTGTCGACTCATCTATACTGTGCCAACTGTGTATGATTTGGGATCTAGCTATTGGACAGACTGTCCCAATAATGGATATCTCTTAAAAATAAATCCAACCTTTTTAGGGCTTGCGGGGAGGAGGGTGGAAAATCATTTTGCTATTTAGTTTTTTTGTCCTATTTTGGGATGAAAACAAATATTGAAATCTTGAAATACTCCTCAGAATGAGAATTTTGTTTTCAGGTTAGGTCTAGAGAAGCTGCAGGCAATGCTGAAG